CCCTGCCTTCATTGGCAAGCTCTTTGGTGAAGGCTGAGATCTCCTGTTAACTTGGCCTTTAGCCCTCAAGGACATTGCCTGCAGCATCACTGGGCCTGGCTAATCCATACCTCCTTAGAAACTGGGAATTTGCGGACATACCCTAAGACCACTGATAGGCCTGAGGCTGCTGCAAATTGCCGCCCCCCTCAGTCCTGTGACTTATATACAGTTAGGAGCAAGTACACTAGAGATGCCATCCACCTCAAATGCATACCTTTCAACATTTCTCTAATGAAAGTAGGGATGCTAATAATAATAATAATAATAATAATAATAATAATAATAATAATTCCCCACCCATCTAACTGGAATGCCAACTGACTGGTTTCCAACATATATAAAAACATAATAAATCATTAAAGAATTTACCTGTACAGGGCTGCCTTCAGATGTCTTCTAAAGGTTGTATAGTTACGTATTTCCTTGACTTGGGTTGCACAACCCCATACCCTCCAACATTTCTCAGATGAAAATAGGGACATCCTAAGGAAAAGTGGGGCATTCCGGGATTACTACTACTACTACTACTACTACTACAGTGGTGCCCCGCAAGACGAATGCCTCGCAAGACGGAAAAACCGCTAGACGAAAGGGTTTTCCGTTTTGAAGTTGCTTCGCAGGACGAATTCCCCTATGGGCTTGCTTCGCAAGACGAAAATACCTTGCGAGTCTAGAGATTTTTGTTCGCTTTTCCCTTTATCTAATCTGCTAAGCCTTTAATAGCCTTTAATAGCCTTTTAGCAGCTAATCCCTAAGCCTTTAAGCCTTTAATAGCCGCTAAACCGCTAATAGCGCTAATAGCGCTAATCCGTCAATGGGCTTGCTTCGCAAGACGAAAAAACCGCTAGACGAAGACTCTCGCGGAACGGATTAATTTCGTCTTGCGAGGCACCACTGTACTACTAATTTATTAGTTATACCCCACCCATCTGGCTGGGTTTCCCCAGCCAATCTAGGTGGCTTCCAACAGAATTAAAAGCACAATAAACCATCAAACATTAAAACTTCCCTTAACCAAAAACACACACAAGCAAACAAACTTCCCTAAACAGGGCTGCCTTCAGATGTCTTCTAAAAGTTTGGTAGTTTTTCTCTTTGACATCTGATGGGAGGGTGTTCCACAGGGCGGGAGCCACTACCAAAAAGGTCCTCTGCCTGGTTCCCTGTAACCTCACTTCTTGCAGTGAGGGAACCACCAGAAGGCCCTCGGCGCTGGACCTCAGTGTCTGGGCTGAACAATGGGGGTGGAGCTTCTGTAAACCCAGGACTGTCCCTAGAAAATAGGGACATTTGAAGAGTCTGCAAATGCCATACTGATCTGAGCATTGCTGCCTCTAACTGATCTCCACAGATGAGGCAGCAATTCTTCTGAATGTCAGTTCAAGAGGGGAGAGGGCTCTTGTGCTAGAGATGGATTTAGGGGAGTGCAACCACAGGGGGTGCTGCAACTATAATGTAGAATAGAAGGTCAGAGGCAGAGGGGGGTGGGTGGGTGGCACCAAACATTGGCATAGCACAGGGTGCCCCTGAAATTTGAGACCCCAAGGTCCACCAGTGCTTGTACTCTAATCCTGCTTGTGATTTTTGGCAGGCCACTGTGAGAACAGGAAGCTGCCCTAGATCCACCAGGCACTTCTTATGCTCATCTCAAGAAAGCCATGTTCTGCATTCCGGAAGCTCTATTATTCCCGTTTTAGAAGACAGATGGAGAACTTGTGCAGCCTGCATCCAAAATTAGCAGGACTAATGAATCATCAGAATGCGCTGCACTTTCCTAGAATCCATGCTGACTCATAAATGGATGGATGTTACGACTGAGAGGGCAGTCTGTAGCTTTTGAGTGCCTGTTGTGGCTGAAAAATATGCATATATAGCACTCTGAAGCCAGATAAGTACTATTATTATTTGGTACAGTTGCTTTATTCTCTCTCTCTCTCTCTGTCTCTCTTTCTCTTTCACGCACACACGGTTTTAAATTGTAGGTTGTACTGTAAATCCATATTTTATATTTGTGTCAAAATCTCTCTCTCTCTCTCTGTGTGTGTGTGTGTGTGTGTGTGTGTGTAAAACAAACCACTGAGGAAAGCTTGAGGGTCAAAACATGTTTCCAGAGCTGGTCCAAGACATTTTGGCACCTGTTTATATTGGTTACATAAAATTCTTTCATAATATTATACTACCACTACTAATATCCCAGTTTGTTCACATACATCGCTAAACAGTCGTTTGAAAAGCACAGACCTAACTTTACGTGTTTGTTCGTAGTCCTACCTAAGGACCATGGAGAATCTTCTTGCGTAGCGCTTGGGGTCTGTAATCCTTGGAGATCTCCTTCACTTAACTGGATGGTGCTGGGTGGTGCTGAGGCTGCATTCTGGATTTCCCATTAAAGCCAGGAGGCCTATTCACTGCAGTCGAGGCTTCAAGAACGAGCCCCTTGAGGGCAACTATCGTCCCCCAATTGCTTGTCTTAATTTTCATTTATGCCAGAAGAGTTTCTAACCACTGGCTAAGCAGCGTGCATCGCTGCTTAACTTCTAAATGGAAGCGTAAGGTGGAAATTCTTCAACCGCCCTTTGGAAAAGTCTGGGCATTTGAACGTAAATTTCATGTCTGAGCTCAGACAGTACAGAATCTGGCATTTGATGCAGAAACAGACATTGCGAGAACCTTTTTTTGTGTCACATTTGTGTGACACGCAGCCAGCGTGGTGTGGCGGTTAGAGTGTCAGACGTGGGAGAGCAGGGTTCAAATCCTCACTTGGCCTTGAAGCTCACTGGGTCTGTCAGTCCCTCTCAGCCGAATGAACCTCAAAGGGTTGTTGTGGGAATTAAACGAGCAGGGGGAGAACTATGTAGAGCACTTTGAGCTTGTTGGAAGAAAAGGCGGGGTATAAATGCAAAAAATAAAGAAAGAAAATGTGAATTACCATCCTGTTTTTTTTATATATAAATATTTTTATTAAGCAATTTCAACATAACAAATTATCAAATCATATAATCACATACATTATTCCCCCCCTTTTCCCCCACCCCCCTTCCACCCCCTCCACCCCCACCAGGGACTTCCCTCAGCTCCTCTCTCTGATTTCTCTGCACATATTATTCTCTGCATGTTATAAAATTATACATATCCTTGCGTTGTATATCTATCATGTTATCAACCAATAAATTTGTGTCTGTTTATTCAAAACCTGTCAAGGAGTCCAGTTCATTTTGTTGTCTTTTTAGATAATTTGTAAAAAGTTCCCATTCTTCCTTAAAGTCACAGTTGTCCTTGTCCAGCAGTTTGTATGTCAATTTAGCCAGTTCTGCAAAGCTCATCAATTTTTCTTGCCACTGTTCTTTCGTTGGGATTTCCTCAGTCTTCCATCCTTGTGCTAGCAAGACTCTTGCCATGATATACCATCGTGTTTAACCCACCCTCCTAACTTGCCCACTGTTTGTGTGAGTTAGCCCTGTGTGGGGTTGCCCCCTTTGGCTAGTCAGGAAATATTCTAGCCAAACATTCGTCCTCCAATATAAAACAGCTAGACAAACCAAATGCCCAAACAAACACAATGACTGTTTTTCTCTCTCCCCCTGCTGTAACATTCTATTGAATTTTTTATAATGCAATAAGAAACTAATCTAAATAAAAACAAAAATGGAGAAAGAGAAAAGAAACACAGAGTCCTCTCTCAAAGGTACTTCCTGCGAAGGGGAAGAAATGGAGGCAGTGAGAGATTTTACTTTCTTGGGCTCCATGATTACTGGAGATGGTGACAGCAGTCACGAAATTAAAAGACGCCTGCTCATTGGGAGAAAGGCGATGGCAAACCTAGACAGCATCTTAAAAAGCAGAGACATCACCGTGCTGACAAAGGTCCGTATAGTTAAAGCTATGGTTTTCCCAGTAGTGTTGTATGGAAGTGAGAGCTGGACCATAAAGAAGGCTGATCGCTGAAGAATTGATGCTTTTGAATTATGGTGCTGGAGGAGACTCTTGAGAGTCCCATGGACTGCAAGAAGATCAAACCTCTCCATTCTGAAGTAAATCAGCCCTGAGTGCTCACTGGAAGGACAGATCGTGAAGCTGAGGCTCCAATACTTTGGCCACCTCATGAGAAGAGAAGATTCCCTGGAAAAGATCCTGATGTTGGGGAAGATGGAGGGCACAAGGAGAAGGGGACAACAGAGGGCGAGATGGTTGGACAGTGTTCTCGAAGCTACCAGCATGAGTTTGACCAAACTTTGGGAGGCAGTGGAAGACAGGAGTGCCTCGCGTGCTCTGGTCCATGGGGTCATGAAGAGTCGGACACGACTAAACGACTAAACAACAACAACAACAACACCTGTCATGAACAGAAAGTGATGGATCCTCCCAGCTCTCACCTGGGACAGCTTTCCTTTCTTTCCCCAACATCTCACCTGGGAGATGTTCATTTCCCTGCCTAGAAGAGAAGAGACTTCAAATTTTTTGCCCATCAACTGGATGTGCCTAAAAATGATTGCTGCCTGTGTTATTTTCCTCTTTCCTCTAAGATGCCCTGTTTAAGCAGAAACATGATGCACAAAGCACACGGCTTCTCCGAAAGAATCCTGGGAACCATAGTTTACCCTATGGGGAGGTACTCTTCCCAGAACCCTTGACAAACTCCACATCCTAGGATTCTTCACCATGTGCTTTAAATGTATGGTGTGTATGCAGGCCCTCTGCACACATTCAAAGGCACCCAACAAGCATTTCTGCATTCTGGTTAGTTTCACCACATTTTGGTTCAAGGATTGCTGCGGTGGGGGGAGAGCAATTGAAGCAAGAGGCCTTGGGCAGTAGGGAGGCAGGGAAAAGCAGAGCAAAGGCTAATGAGCACATTGCAAGAGACTGTGCGTGTGACTTACAAAAAGCTGTACAACAGCCAAGTGGGAGGGCCAGGGAAGGAGCCCGTTGGAGCTGGAGGGCGTGTGAGGCAAGCTGCAGAGCAAGAGAAGCTGGGAGACTCCATTAGGGGCGGGTTGAGGGAGGAGAGTGAAGTGGGCAGAAAAGGCAGGGAGCTGTGTCTGTTGGAGAGAGATTAAAACAGCAGCAGGAGAGTCTTGCTTCCCCAAAACGGTGGTGTTGTGTGGATCCGGGAAAAGAGAAAGGTGCGTTGGTTTTAACGCTTTGCAGAGCGTTTTCCCTTGCAGCAAAAGCTTTTTGCAGGAACAACAACACGCAGAGCACAGTGTGCGTGGCTGGGCTTTCGCTTTCTGTGTTTTGCTTGTGCAACTTCTGACAAAGGCTTTCTGGTTCATAGACCAGTGTGGGAAGTTGGAAGTGGGGAGACTGAAGTTGCAACCGGATAGATAGACGGGTAGAGAGACAGACAAACGCTTGCCTTAGGAGTAAGTCCCACAGAACTCACTGTGGCCTTCTCCTGAGCTGATGCCTGTAGCATTTCACAAGACAGGTGCAATACATATTGGAAATGTGCAGGCCCTTTTGGGATCTTTGGCCTCACTTCCTACATCTTCTACATTGCCAAACTTAGCATACTCGCTCAAGGAAAATAGCTAGAGCCAGAAGCAGGGGAGAGCATGTAAATAGGTGCTAGTGGTGCCACTAAAGCATTTCTAGGTCTTCAATTGCACAATTTGTTTCTGTGCTCTCCTAATTTATTTAGTTAACGCAGTTACCCATCTTAACCTCCCAGTTTTTGAAGAGTGTTATTATTATTGATTTATTATTTTAAGTATGGGATTTACTTGAAGCTAGAGGAACACAGGCCCTGGTTTTACTGAGAAGACAAACCACTACGTGAGATGGAAAATGCCAGACTGCAAGTCATATGACTGAATGCTCTGCGATACAAATGTATATCAATAAAATCCCTGCACATAGAAAATCAGCAGGGTGAATGTGGTTTGCTAGTGCAGGCGAGTTTTTAATTCTTGGATTGAAGAGCCTTTAGTCATGTGAACCTCCCCTTGCCTCACTGAAAGCCCTCTGTTCAAATCTCGCCACTGTTCCTCTGTGTTTCCCTGTGGGGTTTTAGAAAGCGAAGATTCAGGCAGGTAATTTCTTCAGCATCTGCAGGCGTTTATTTATTTTTTTGCTCTGATTTTCTATCTGCAAGGGGGAACTGCAACATAATGTTGCAGCGTGGTGTACACCTCCTCAATGTTCCAGCAAGATAGACATGCATTCCTCCAGGATATTGTACCCTGCTCTCACCCTGCTTTTCATTCTCCTCACCCCTACCAAAAATCTCAGCATCCTGTAGTCACTGTGCATGTTCCTTCCTGGGGCTGTTTTTACCTCCCATTCCATGTTAGGGTTGCCTCCTTCCATCACATGTTTTGTAAACCTTGGTTTTCCCCAAGGCTGTGGACATGTCCCTAGTCTGCCTGCCTGGTGCCATGTTGGCTACAAAGAGTAGAAGCTGGCAGGCAAGTGGACCACAGCCTCCCCAGCTCCCACCTGCCTGCCTTCTTACTTACAGCCAGCCCAGGGGCTGTCGGATTCCTGTTCCTTAATGCCTGTAGAACTTGGCATAGAGTTCTAGAATCAGTTGGCTCTGCCTGTCGGTGGCTCTGGCTCCCCCTACTGTCAGCCTCCCTGCCTTTCACCCTACCAGCCTCTATGGGCCCCAGCCATCCCTAGCTACCTAAGTGATGACACTCACATATGTACATTGGAAACAGAGAGGCTAATTTTATCAACTGCCAAATGTTTCTGGTTCTTCAAGTTCCTTTACTAAACTTTTCCTCTTGGCACTGATAAGATAAGACAGGTTCTCCCGCTTGAAATGTCCGTAGTGGGTGTTGTTGTTTTTTATAAAAAAATGTGGATATATTCAAGATGCCTGCCATTGGTTATTAAAATATAATAATCCACATCTCTGCATAGTAGCAAATGATTGACTTATGAAGTGCTTAAGGACTCATTACTTGCTTTCAAAACGAATTGCTTTGAACAGCAAATGCAGTTAATCTTTTTTGTGTCTATTTCAGATATATATGCAGGAGGGGGGAGGGGGGAGAAGGAGAAATCTCTCCACTTTTCGATGCGAGTAGGATTGAGTGAATTGCACTTATTTTTATAAGCACACTTCAATCAAGCCCAACTAAATGCAAATTATTTGGCCTATCCTCCCCCGTGCCTCACTTCTTCTGGAACTGCTGCCAGTGCAACTCCCCTGCAGTTGCTTGGAGAAACTGGCAGATTAAAAAAGTTTTTTTGCTAGTCTGAAAGGCTGCCTCTGCCACTGTGGCCATTAGTGAATGAACAGGTGCATTTGCAAGGATGTGCTATGCAAGTAACTGCACAGAAGCAAATTCCTATGCAGGCAAATACAGCATGTGGAAATGCAGTAGGAAACTGCCCTGGTTTCTCACTGCTTTGCAGTGCACACTAGCATATAGCATAGTCATTGCAGTCTTGGGCACAGACTTTGATCTTTCACCTTGTTGCTGGTTCAACATTATCCCAGGAGGTGTGGTCTCTCCAAAGCATTCCTGCCAAAAAAACCTGCAACACAAAGGTTACTCCCCACGCCCATGCCAGTGGCTCAGTTGTTCACCTCAAAGTCCATTCTTCTTCTGCTTTGCCATTGCAATGTGGTAAAACCTGTTGTTTTAAGTTCTCTCTCAAGGATCAATCTGAGCTGGGTTTTGATTACCAGAGCTCCAGGCAGTTTATTCCTGCCTGCACTCTTTCTTCCCTTCCAAACATCCATTTCCCACCTTACAGAAAGGGGAGAAGAGGAGGAGCAGGTTACTCTAAACTTGAGAGTATATTGTGTATTGGAATGTTTATTTCAGGGACGGGGAAACATCAGACCCAGCCAGGGACTGAACAAAGTCCTTCAAGCAGTAGTGCAGTGGCAAATCCAGAAGTGCAGGGTCCCTTTATGAGAGTCATTGCTGCACTGCTTTTAAGGTAAAGGTAAAGGACCCCTGACAGTTAAGTCCAGTCGCAAACGACTCTGGGGTTGCGGTGCTCATCTCGCTTTACAGACCAAGGGAGCTGGCGTTTGTCCGCAGACAGTTTTTCTGGGTCATGTGGGCAGCATGACTTAGCTGCTTCTGGCGCAATGGAACACTGAAACCAGAGCAGCACATGGAAAGGCTGTTTACCTTCCCGCTGGAGTGGTACCTATTTATCCAAAGGCTTTTGCAACCATTCTGCGAGTATTGCCACTGTCAGCAACGAGTTGGATGCGATAGACACAGCTTTAGGCAGTAGTCATTGGCACATCGCCTGGCAATCCACCAGGCATCGCTCTTCACCTTTCTCAGTGTAGCAAGTATCTTTTCGCTCACAAGAGCCTTACGCTGTGCGACAATAGCAGTCTCTGTGTCCTTTATGCTGGCCTCAAACCAGTCAAGGATCTGCTGCTGAAGGACATAGCTGTTGGAAACACGCCCGGGAAGGCTGCCAACTTCCCAGGTATTTGAGGCGTCTCTCCGGTGGTCCTCTCTGGCCGTAAATCTCCCTCAGTCCAGGGAGACCGGTAATAAGCGACCCCTCTCTCCTGAGAAGAGCACGCTAGTCTTCTGGCTTATCATAGCAGAAGAAAGAGTCAATCAGTAGTTCTAAACTACTTTATTTGTTGTTGTTGTTTAGTCGTTTAGTCGTGTCCGACTCTTCGTGGCCCCATGGACCAGAGCACGCTAGGCACTTCTGTCTTCCACTGCCTCCCGCAGTTTGGTCAAACTCATGCTGGTAGCTTCGAGAACACTATCCAACCATCTCGTCCTCTGTTGTCGCCTTCTCCTTGTGCCCTCCATCTTTCCCAACATCAGCGTCTTTTCCAGGGAGTCTTCTCTTCTCATGAGGTGGCCAAAGTATTGGAGCCTCAGCTTCAGGATCTGTCCTTCCAGTGAGCACTCAGGGCTGATTTACTTCAGAATGGAGAGGTTTGATCTTCTTGCAGTCCATGGGACTCTCAAGAGTGTCCTCCAGCACCATAATCAAAAGCATCAGTTCTTCGGCGATCAGCCTTCTTTATGGTCCAGCTCTCACTTCCATACATCACAACTGGGAAAACCTAGCTTTTACTATATGGACCTTTGTTGGCAAGGTGATGTCTCTACTTTTTAAGATGCTGTCTAGGTTTGTCATTGCTTTTCTCCCAAGAAGCAGGCGTCTTTTAATAAATAAACTACTTTATTTACAGTCTTATAATACAGAGACTCCATCAGTACGTCTGTGCTCTTTGGACTCCGGTACAGAACTGCGTCACATACAGCAGTGAAACTAACTTCCAAAAGTACTCATACTTCCTGTCTCACGTTCTCTCAGACACTCACATGATGTATACAAAACATAGTACAATAGTACCACTCGCTGGAGCAGCTCGGATAGATAAAAATCCTAACAATAGCTGTGTTGTAGGTTGTCTCTTTGGTGTGGTTCCACCTTGCTTTGACACTAACTCTGGGGCAGTTCAGTAGAGCTTGTTCAATGGAATGAGAGAAGTATTCACGCGGTTGAGGTATGACTCTTGGTTAGAGTGTGGTGCTGATGATGCTAAGGTTGCAGGTTCGATCCCCAATATGGGGCAGCTGCATATTCCTGCATTGAAGAGGGTTGGACAAGATGAACCTCTGGGTCCCTTCCAACACTACAATTCTATGACTCTTCTGGCAGTGTTGATTTTAGAGCTGGGCAATATATTGATAAATTGTCTGGTGTTCTGATTGCAATACCAGTTTCAGACAATTTGAGCTGGCAATACATTGCGTCAGCTCGAATTGCCTTCAGACAGCAACGGCGCAGGCAGGCAGGTAGACAGAACCTAAGAAGGTTCTGGGCAAGCACTTTCTTGGGCCCCGTCTGCCTGCATGCCTGCGCCTTTGAGGAAGCTCCCTGCTCCTCCAGCTTGCTTGAACTGGAGCAGTACGGGGCTTGCTGAGGTGAGGGGCTGGTGGCTTCCCACCCCCCAGCTGAGCAGTTCCACTACGCCTCAGTGCCCCTTCCAGCTTGCATGACAGCTGGAGAGGTATCGGGGCTTGCTCACTGTAGCGCTGAGCAATGTATCTGGGCTGCTTCTTCCTCCCCTAAGGTGAGGAAGCAGTAGCAACCGAGAGACATTCCAGACACTGTGCTACATCAGCATATCATGGTGTTTAGCTGCTGATATATCACGATGCTGAAAACCAGATACCACCCAGCTGTAGCTGATGGAGACCACACTTTCTGCTTTGGGCTATGGACCCTCTTTGCCTAGAGATGTATCTTGCTCACCACCAGGGAGTGATCGGTGTCACAGTCCACTCCCGTGTGACAAAAACACACTTAATAATAATAATAATAATAATAATAATAATAATAATAATAAAAAATTATTTATACCCTGCCCTCCCCAGCCAAGACCGGGCTCAGGGTGGCTAACACCAGGAATAAAAAATTAAAATACAACATTAAAATGCAGCCTCATTTTAGTAGAAACTCAAATCAAAAACTTTTTGGGGGATGAAAACGTCAAATCTTCACCAAGGCCAACTATCCAGACTGGTTCTACGTGGGCCAGAAAAAAGTCAGGGAAGTCCCCAAATAGGAGTTCCATCACAGAAGGAGAAAGGAAAAAGGAAAGAGGGGGAGGGGATCAAGTTGATTCCAAGCCAAAGGCCAGGTGGAACAACTCTGTCTTACAGGCCCTGCAGAAAGAAATCAGATCCTGAGGGCCCTGGTCTCATGAGGCAGAGCATTCAGTGCCAATTGCCTGATAAATTGTGGTATATAAATTATTTTAACAAGATAAAATGACTTCACTTACTGCAAACTACAGTCCTGCTTAGTTTGGACACTCTCCTTATTCAGTAAAAGTAGAAGGGCTATAGCTCAGCGGTAGAGCATCTCCTCTGCACGTAGAAGGTCCCAGGTACCATCTGTCTCTAGGTAGGGCTGGAAAAGGACTCCTGCTTGAAGCCCTGGAGATTTGCTCCCAGTGTGGAGAGTATTGAGCTAGCTGGACCAATGATGTGATGGCTTACTGCTTGTTCCTATTCTGCTGAGTGAGGCCCTGGATTTCTTCCTGCAAGTCCTACCTTGTTGACACCCACCCCATACTTGTTCCCTCGTGCTTCGTTTCACATGTCGGGAATGCTGATGTCACACCATGAATGTAATGTTAAATAACATTCTCGCTCTCAATTTCCATCCCAGGTCTCCAGAGGATACGGGCCAAAATGACTAAACTTAATGAAATAGTAGACATGGACGTGCTGAGGGCCTACACTTTTTATGCGGTCATTATCATCATAAAAATGATGCTGTTGAGCCCTCTAACAGGATACTTAAGAGTGAAGAAGCAGGTGAGAAAATATATGTGTTTGGAAATGGAAAGCCCAATGGTGTTTTTCAAAAGGCGGAAACCCACTAATGTGATCGGAGAGGAAGATGGTCTCTTGCTCTCTGCAGAGGGACAGGATCCAGAACTGTTTCTTGGAAACCGGCTGATATTCTGCACACAGAGCTCTCAAAATCTTTATTTATGGTTCATTCACACCATACATTTAAAGCAGTGGTTTTTCAACCCTGGGGTGCCATGAATGATGGCCGGGGTGCCGCGGGCAAAACTGACCTCTGTCCCTTTTTCCTTCCTTCCCTCTTATGATGCCCCCTTGCATCTCTGCCTTCCAAAGGCTTGCACAGCTATTTGTTGCAGCAGCCCTGGGTACAAGCTCCTCAGGCAAATGGTGCCTTTGGAGCTGGCCAGGGGGTGCTTCTCGGACCCCTCTTTTTGGAGCAGGGGGGCGCAGCTCAAAGATCACCCTATTTTTGTGGTTGTAAGTTGTTATAAATGTTGCGGGACCTAACAACAACAATAATGCGTTTATTCCTCATGCCCTCGAACAGGCATTCGCCAACCCTGAAGATGCGGCTGCATTGGGTAAAGGAGAGGCTGGGAAAAAGACTCTCAGGACTGATCCGGATGTGGAGCGCGTGCGAAGGTAGCTGAGGGGACTTTTACGAAAACAAGAGTATTTTATTGGTTTTACTTGAAAGCTTTCTATCCTGCTCTTCAGAAGAAGGAAAAAGTTGCATGAAGTAACAATTTACATATGTAGAAGACGTAGCGTGCATTATACCTGTTGTGGGTATTCTGTATCCATCAGTGCAGGGATTGACACTTGCTCCACAGAACCTCCCCCTGTGTACCCCTTAAATCTATTCTGGGGCTTTCCCAAAGCAGATTTTGGGAAGATGCAGAAAGAGGAGCAGTAAAGTTCTACTGCAAATCCTTGCACTCAAAAAATGGGTGCATTTGGTGATTGGTTTGTGTTGAGGTACCCAACATGCTGCCCACCAGATGATGTTGAGCTACAGCTTACATCAGCTGAAGGCAGCCTGACCAGTGATCAGGGATGATGACTGTTGTGGATCAGAAACATCTGGACAGTGCTATGTTGGCTATACATCATCTACGGAGTTGCTTTGATTGGCAGCAAACAGCCAGAAGAGCTCCTTTGACGCTGACTCATACTTTCCTTCTTTCCCCAGACTCCATCTCAACGACCTTGAGAACATCATTCCATACCTCTTCATTGCATTCTTCTATTCTTTCACGGGCGTTTCTGAAACCACAGCCTTGATTCACTACAGACTATTTACTGCAGCTCGACTCTTCCACACCATTGCCTACCTGGTGCCCCTTCCGCAGCCCTGCAGGGGTCTGAGTTTTGGGGTCGGCTCGTTTGTGACCTTTTCAATGATATTCCAGCTTCTGTGGAACGGCCTGAATCTGTTATAGAAAAGAAGCCTGCCCTCATTACCACCATAATGGCCATTCTACGGTAGTTTTCAGATTTTTGCCTTTGGGGCATCTTTTCCACACCTGCCTAGGGACAACCCCCCCCCCCCCGCCCGGCCATCGCAACCTGCCTGCTACAGAACTCCCCAATGCACGACAGAGCATCCCAGGGCATATTCTAGGGCAGGGTTGGGGAACTTGTGATCCACCTGACATTGTTGGACCACAATTTCCATCATCCGTGACCACTGTCCTGTCCTGGCGGGGACTCATGGGAGTTTGAGTCTACTGGAGGACAGGAGGTTATTCCCCACCCCACCCTTGCTCAGTTAATGTGAGAACAAAACCATACACTTTCCTGCAGATGCACATTACAGGGGAAGATTCATAAGTCTTCCAGGGAAATGTGCTTGCTCTCCTGGTTTACATGGAGAAGGTCTGATGTTCAACCCCTGGCATATCCAGTACAAAGGATAAAAGCAGAAAACAGTTAATGGAGAAATATCTTTGCCTGAAACCCTACACATTTAAAAGGCTGTAGAATATTAGAGGAACGTTTTCGCCTGGTGCCCATGTAATGAAGACACCAGGCGAGCCTCCCTGGGGAGAGCATTCCACAAATGGGGAGCCACTGCAGAAAAGGCCCTTTCTTGTTTGCCACTCTCTGGGCCTCTTATGGAGGAGGCACACTGAGAAGGGCCAAAGATGATGATCTCAGGGCTTGGGTCAGTTCATATTAGGCGATGTGGTCCCTCATATACATTGTCTAGCAGTGGCTGTCCAAGGTCTTGCAGGAGTCTTTTCTAGCTAGTTGGAGACGCCAGGGATTGAACCCAAGACTTTATGCATGCAGGCAGGTACTCTACCACTGAACCACACCCCCTCTCTAACAAAGTTCAGACCATTGCCTCGTCAGCTGCACGATCATTGCTTTAGTTCACCAATTTGTATGTGTATGGGGTCATAAGGTAGCTGAGCTCACATGTAAATGTAAAAACCTGCATTTACTTTGGAATATCAGAAGCTAGGAACCGAAAGTAAGTATAGCTTGCATTGTTATGTCCCGCTTCTGAAAGTCTAGATGACTTTGGTTGGCCAATATTGGAACAGAAACAGGGGATGGATGGATACTTGGTCTGGTCCAGCAAGGCCATATTTAAGTTTGTTCACACAATTGAGTTGTCCCAGTCATGGGCATACTTTTGTGGTGGTCTTGTTCCTCCAGCTCCAGATTCCCCAGAAATTAATTCAGGTATGTTTTGAACTACAGCTCCCTTCAGCAAGTGTAGCCAACGGTCAAGGGTGATGGGAGCTGTCGCCCAAAGCATTTAGAGGACACCAGGCATGGTGAAGAGAGGAAGATATAGGCACTACCAGGAGCCAACAGCCACACTGTAAGTCCTCCATAAATCGTAGGACAGCTCACCATGATAGGATGAAGGCCCTGCTCAGGTCTGCTACAAAATAATGGCAGAATATTCATGTTTTCCTACTTGCAAATCATTTTATGTTTTCAGTTGTCCACACTTCTGCTTGTCCCATACTTTCTTGGCATAGTTGCGAGAGGGTTTTTGTTTGCCCTGCTTCTTTCCCCGAGAAAACCCACTGTTTACCACTGCAAACCAATTGATATTTGCTCCGGTTCAGCAGTAAACAGAGAGTTTCTCCTGGGGGGAAGCAGCAGGTCAAGTAGGACTGTGGATGAGCCTTAAATGCAGTGCCTCTGCAACAAATGTACAAATGTGAGGCATGATATGTAAAATTAGATGTAGCAACAGAGGAGAAACAATTCGGCACTTGTTACACACAGTAACAGGTCTTGAGATTTGGAAGCAACAATGGATCTGGATACCAGTTGCTGGAAACCACAGGGGAAAGGCTCTTGTGTTCAGATCCTGCTTACAGGTTTCCCACAAGCGTTTGGTTGGCTTCTATGAGAACAGGATGCTGCCCTGAATGGGCCATTGGCCTGATCCAGCAGGTTCATATTATGTTCTTTGCTTGCGGATCTTGGTGGGCAAACAGGGTTCCCGATGGATACAACACATGCCCTCCACCCCATGCTCCACATCACTCCTTCGCTACAACCATCTAGCAGAGCTCAAGACCACATTTGTCAGGGTGCATTATGCCCAAGCTGATGAATGCACATCAAACCCATTTTATAAGCTCTGTCTGTGTAGATCTACGCCTTGAGGTCATCACAAAAGGTTGTCCTAGTGGTTATAAATTGGTAAAAAGAATTTGCCCGTTCAGCTGCCCATTTTGAGAGTTTTGACTTCAGTCATCATTCCTTGAACACCAGTCAGCATTCTGGGCAATGTTGTCAACATAACATAAGCTGCAAGGTTGCTGCATTCTCTAGGGTGGGGTTTTTTTGGTTACAGTATATGGTAGCTGATTCTGGGTATTGTGAATAACTTTTTCAATGCCCGCAGATAATCTTTCTCCTCCTTTCTCTTTCGCACACTGTCTCAACCTCAGAATGATTGGAATGACTTGTACAAGCTTTAGGATTTGTTAATGTGTAACAACTCTATTGACGGCATGTACGTATGGTAATTTTCTACAGATGCTATTTTGGGATGTATCTTTTTGAAGCATAAATAATAAAGACAACAGCAAAAAAGGGGGGAAGTCTTTGCATTTGGGGGGCTATTTTCGTTCCCTCGACTTCTCTAACTGCAGTCAGCAAATAGGATGTCACAAAGAATAAGAGATTCAAATCAGGGAGTTCTTTGAAGATTATTTACCTTAATAATAAGATATTGCAAAGCAATGCCAAGCCGTGTTGTAAAGGAGACTTTGATGCAAATAGGTGTTTGTAACCAAGCGCTGAAATAAACACAGGGAGCAGAATTTTCTTAGCCTACCGTATCCCTTAAGAGAAAAGAATGTTTTGAGTGTCTTCTACCAGAGTTTCAGCCATAAAGTCTTTGAAGCAATTTCTTTGCCTATAAAAATAGAGCAGGCATTATGAGACCCTTCATTATGCAGATCTGATTGCTGACCAGACTTGATGTGTGTCCAACAGCTATTCCAGACATTATTGCACATAAATGTTACACCGTATTCTTCCAGTTGCGCAGGTAGCTGCTCACTGACGAAGCATACAAGGGCAAGCCTACTGAACTTCAGAATTATTATTAATAAATACCATATTTTACCGTCTATAAGATGCCCCCATGTATAAGACGCCCCCTATTTTGGGGGACTCTAAGAAAATGGGGGAAGATGGCCTCCATGTATAAGATGCCCCCACATTTTTCATGTTATTTTAAAGGAACAAAACATAGTCATATACACGGTAAATTTATTAACCCACCTTCACCAGTAGGTCCCAGTGTGGGTTGCAACAATTTAAAATCTGTAATTAAAAATGGTTAAAACAGAGTATAGTCACAGGAATAGGGTGGGCCCTGAAAGCACACATCTCAGGCATCGAAGGTCAGAGTGAAGAGGCATGTCTTCAGCATTTGCCCAAAGGTGAGTGGTGAAGAAGCCAGATGTAGCTCTGTGGCAGGGAGTTTCACAACTTGGGGGTTGCCACGGAGAATGCCCTCTCATTACCCTAAACTTCTGACGGAGGTGGTTGAGGTCTGTAGGGAAGAAGGGGATCTTTCCAGAACAGGGTCATTTGTTTTCAGACTCTTCTTGGGACAGGGAGACTAGTCTGCAGATTGCAAGATCAGAAGGGGAAACCCTCCCGTGGAATCATCTCAGACCTGGGGAGGCCAAGAAACAGAAACAGCAGGCCACGTATTCCCCTTGGACAGATACAGTTGCAGTGAATGATTCAGTAGGCTTCAACTTTTTCTTTACACCACCTTTCACCTATGCTGCATTGTTTTTAACACTCAATTGGGAGCCGCCCAGAGTGGCTGGGGAAACTCAGCCAGGTGGGCGGGGTATAAATAATAAATTATTATTATTATTCCCCCTTATTTTAATTAGTGTTTTGTCAATAATTTCTCCTGCTCCTGCCTGCCTGCCCCCCCAACTATTTCCCACCAATTAATGAGGGGGAAAAAATTGGTAAAAAGTCTCAAAAGGTCTGCACAGTGCAAGGTTTTCATTGCACTATGGAGGGAGCTACTGGCTGTTGCCTGTGCCATCGCCAATACATTGCTGCCGCCAATTTTGTAGCTTTAAAAAAGTGCATAAATGTTTGGTAAGATTGACGTGCATAGAAATAAATGTGCACGTGCTGCATATATATATATATATATATATATATATATATATATATATATCTATATATCACAGACAGACTGGGACCTGAGAGAGACGGTTCAAATCTTCATTAGCCGTGAAGCTCTCTGGGTGAGCTCAGGCCTCTCAGTTTAACCTTCCTCACAATGCTGTTGCTGTCAGGATAAAATAAAGAGTGCCATGTACATTGCCTTCAGCTCCTTGGAGGTAATACTAAACAAATAAATGGGAAATATTGAGTTTGTTGGACCTCCTGTCTGGTTTTCATACAGTACCTCAAATTTTGCTTAATCTGTTCTAAATCATTTGTCTACTGAGCACGGCTACAGAAATAGCCATAATGTGAGTCCAAATAGCAGCCACAAATCCTTCTCCCCCACCCCCACCCCCGCTCCACATGTGGTGTTAAGTTGACTCATTAATTTGTCATTGTTAGCTTTCATTATCACCGTGTTCAAATATTGCATGTTATTGTATTTTATTATTCATAGACGTGGAAGGAAGTGAGGCACCCCCACCCGGGCTGGCTAAAATGCTGCTTTTTGTTCAGACAAATGATTTGGAACCACCACTAGATGTCCCTCTTTGGCTTTTCTTTTCCTTCGGGGAGGGGAAGCATTCCTTCCAAACTTGTTTTGTGCACAGCAAAAGAGGTGTTGGTTTTTCCTGCCTGGCATCAGCTCGTGGTACGGAGAAAGTGGATCAAGAGAAGTTTTTCTCCTCCTTTCACAGTACAAGAAGCTAGGGCACTCCGTGAAGCTGAATGTGCAACGAATGAGGACAAGGAAGTACTTCTTCGTACAGGGCATAGTTAAACCGGATTTCTTTTGGACAAGCGGCTTAAGCAGCTGACCGAGAGCCAGGAGGTCAGAAGTCTAAAGTCAGGAGACACAAGGCTGGAATGTGAATCTGGGAACTGGACATGTCACCCAGGCATAGTCCCAGCCCTTATGGCAGGAATGGAGAACCCGTGGTTCTCCAGATGGTCTCAGACACCAACTCCCATCATACCCAGCTGGCGTGAGCAATGGTGGGGGATGATGGGAGTTGTGGTCCAACATCATTGGATTGGGTTGGATTAGCCAACCCTTGCAACTGTGCAATTCTATGATCTTATGATCATTTGATGAACCACAAGGCTCCCATCTATTCTTTGTAGTCTTTCCACATCAGGGGACATTGCCAGCGACTGTCTTGGGAATGCAGAGTTGCTGAGAAACCCAGGGAACACTCTAACCTGCCATAAAAGTGATATAGTGGTACCTCGGGTTAAGAACTTAATTCGTTCTGGAGGTCTGTTCTTAACCTGAAACTGTTCTTAACCTGAAGCACCACTTTAGCTATTGGGGCCTCCCACTGCCGCCGCGCCGCCAGAGCACGATTTCTGTTCTCATCCTGAAGCGAATTTCTTAACCTGAGGTAATATTTCTGGGTTAGCGGAGTCTGTACCCTGAAGCTTATGTAACCCTACGTACCACTGTATATGATTATAGTGTGGCTGGACCTAAAGAGACACCAGGTTCTTCAGGAATTTCCGCTGCTGCTTTCCTTGCAACTTTAGGAACCAGCTGATGGGGAGAGAAGAAGAGTTTGGATTTGATAGCCCGCTTTATCACTATCCCAAGGAGTCTCAAAGCGGCTAACAATCTCCTTTTCCCTTCCTCCCCCACAACAAACACTTTGTGAGGTGAGTGAGGCTGAGAGACTTCAGAGAAGTGTGACTAGCCCAAGGTCACCCAGCAGCTGCATGTGGAGGAGCAGAGACGCGAACCTGGTTCCCCAGATTACGAGACTACCGCTCTTAACCACTACATCACACTGGAGGTGCACTGAAGGTAACATGCAGTCCCTCCATCAGTGAAGACTGGTCCATTTGAGTGAATGGGACACAGTCCCACCAATCTCTTTCTGCTCCTCTTACTTACAACCAGTCCAGTGGGGAGCATGGCCTGTCAGCTCTAGCTTCACCTACTGTTTGGGTTCCCTGCCTTCTGCCCTATCAGTCCACATAGACGCCAGCTCCCACTGCCCTGGGCCTTAGTTTAAGAACCACTGGAGTAAACAACCGAGACTCCATTGCACAGTCCGGTGATGGAATGGCTAATGATGCAGCCCCTTTTAAAGTCATGTTTCTCATTTGGACACCGCACGGCATCCCTATTTGTATTTCATCTCCTTTCCTGGCTACTTTATCTATGTCCTCTCTGGTTGAGTTGCAGCCCAGGGGACATTGTTTTAATCATTTGCTGTTCCTACCTGAACTTCCTTGTATGTATTTAGTATCACTTTGCTTTGAGACAGGAACATATAGAAAAGGTATTTTTAATTCTCACGGCGAGGCTTGATTACTTAAAAGGCATTTTGTTCCCTTCTGCTTGAAAGAAAACATTCAAAATCTCCTATATTTTCTCTGCAGAAGAGAAACCATGCAACTATTTGTTTGGGCTTGCTAAAACTTTTCTTATCTGAATAGATTTTCACCCAACGAAGCCAGAAAAAAAGAGAGTGACATATCTAAATGAGCAATAGCCTTTATTTATATTGCATTTTGATCTCACCCTTTCTCCAAAGAGCTCAGGGTAACTTATATTTAACTTCACAACAACCCTGTAAAGCAGGTTAGCCTGAGAAATAGTGATTGGCACAGCATCTCCCAGTACTCTCCAGGGGGATTTTAACACAAATGCGTCCAGTCTGAATCCAACACTGAGTAGTTACCCAGTAATGTGTTTCTTGCACCAACAAGGGGGGTAGGCTGGTTGACCTCTGAGATCTTTCACAGTTCTTTGATTCTCTACTACATCATAGTGGCTTTACCAAGGTTGCAACAGTAATAAGTTTTGGATTGTGTTATACTTTTGCCATACTCCTGTTTCCAAAACATTTGAAAGAACTGGGAGAACGTTTAGCAGGAAAACACGACTGGTCAAAATGTGACACAGCTCTCTTCAATGTGGACTAGCTGGATGAAAAAAATGTTTTGATTATATATATAGAGGGGGGGCTGTTTTATTCAAAATTTTAAAGAATACAAATACAAAATAAAAATGTATCTGAAGAAGTGTATCTGAAGAAGTGTGCATGCACACGAAAGCTCATACCATTGACTAACTTAGTTGGTCTTTAAGGTGCTACTGGAAGGAATTCTTTTATTTTTTATTTTTATTTTTTTGTTTCGACTACGGCAGACCAACACAGCTACCTACCTGTAACTAAAATAAAAATGGCAGTAAATAGCAGGTTCAGGAGTTGGAGATTTTTGTAAGGACTGCAGCATGTATGTACGGAGGATTAAATTCTTTCTGGTGTGATATGGTCCTGATTACCTTCCCCCACTTACTTTTGTAGCTTTTATTGCTTTTTCACAGAACCATTCATGCAAACTGCGCTCACACATTTTTTATGTGATCTGCTTTGGCTGGGGTGTGTGTGTGTAGAGAATCACAAAATGATTACCCACCTTTTGAGCTTCACAGAGCTCTTCTTTGTGGAAGGTTGCCAATAAATGTGGAGGGAGAGGGTAAAACCCAATGTCTTGGATCCAGGGGCATCTTGGGCAAGCGGGAATAGCCCTTCCACTTACAGAAGGCAGCCCTCTTGTACCTCATCCCACACCATCACGAGGCACCATCACCTGATGTTCACAGGAGCCAACCCATTGCTGGTAACAGGGTATTGCAAATATTAATATTGTGCAGCTTGAAGCAATAGGATCAATAAAAACTGACTCCTCTTGCAATAAAAATTATCCAGACCAAAATATGGTTTCAAAGCTTTACTAACAGAACTTTCTTCGGACAGGCAGAAAAAACAAACCATGATACAGTGGTACCTCGGGTTACATACGCTTCAGGTTACATACGCTTCAGGTTACAGACTCCGCTAATCCAGAAACAGTGCTTCAGGTTAAAAACTTTGCTTCAGGATAAGAACAGAAATCGTGCTCCGGCGGCACAGCGGCAGCAGGAGGCCCCATTAGCTAAAGTGGTGCTTCAGGTTAAGAACAGTTTCAGGTTAAGAATGGACCTCCAGAACAAATTAAGTACTTAACCCGAGGTACCACTGTACATCCAAATAGTTTCATACCACCATGTCCTTGTCCAGTCACAGGTCCAGCTTCTTACAAATATGAAATAACTCCAAACAGACCTGAAATCAAAGGTCTGTCTCTCTCCACAGCCTCAATTGCGGCCTGGAGCTGTTTCCTCTTCAGAAGACACATCAGCCCACTGTTATCTTGGGTCGCTTGAGAACAAAAGACTCATGCCCAATGGAGATTTGCAACAGATCTAAGTTAGGCAGAGCCAGCAGAGATGCATCAACAGTTAATTATCAACCTGGTGGCACTTAGAGAGCTCCTAGGTTAGCTCAGTAGAATTTTCCAATGCAATGCTCATTCAGAGCCATTTTCCATTTTGATGTGCAATTAAACCATTATACTTAACACGAGGAATGGTGGAAGTTCCTTCCCAAGACACAGGCACCAGAGAGCACCTTTTGCAAAGGACTATAGGGAAAAGAGGGATGAGGGTGGCGCTGTGGGTTAAACCACAGAGCCTAGGACTTGCCAATCACAAGGTTGGTGGTTCGAATCCCTGTTCCCGTTGCTCGGTCCCTGCTCCTGCCAACCTAGCAGTTCAAAAGCACGTCCAAGTGCAAGTAGATAAATAGGTACCGCTCCGGCGGGAAGGTAAACGACGTATCCGTGCGCTGCTCTGGTTTGCCAGAAGC